GGAAATACACAACTGTATTTGTTGCTTTGTATTGTGATCTAATAGGCTGCAAACTAGGGGTCGGGGGAAATGAGGGCTCAAATTATATCTAGAGAGTGAAACAGAATGGAGAGAGATGACATTTTTAGCCTTTATCTTTGGACTGTAGAGAAAAAATTAAAAAACAATATGGAGTCCCAGAAAGGGACTCCCAACAGGCTAGGGACAAGGAGTGGGTGGGGTGAGGGTGAGGATCCTTGGTTATATTTTAACCCATCTTTCTTGTAGTTTGAAACACCAGCCCTATAGGCCCAGAGAGTAGCTTGAAACACTGGTTTAAACACTATTTTGTTACTGGGGCCTTGTTTCTACCAGAGAAGTTGCATCGGTTTTATTAAATCAAGCTAGTTAAACTATTGAAAAAACTGCTACGTGGGTGCACTTATCCTTTGCTTAAATCTGTCTAGTTTGCATTGATAACTCCTAACTAATTAATCTTAACTGATGTAAGAAATAGCTAAGCTATTTTAGGTGCATTTATATTGGAGGCTGCTTCCAGTTTAACTAGATTGATTTTTAAAATCAATCCACATGAACCACTGTAACTTTTCTCTCATAAAACAAGGTCTGATTTCTGCTGATTCACAGGGGGAAAAAAATGAGGCCAAGATGTTTTTCTCTGATAGCAAAATTTATTTTCTTCCCCCCTTTGTAGAAGTTCTTGCTTGCTCACAGCTAGATCAGTCTTTCTTTAAACAAACAAAAAACAAACAAAAAACAAAAGTCTGAGTACTCCCATTTGAAACAAAAACTAACAAAAACCCCACAAACAACATAGCTTGAAGGACATTCATTTTGCACTATTATTTTTCTTTTAGCCAGATGTGTCTAACAAGTGTGTTTGGAGATGCCCTCAGTCACATTCTCTCAGGCCTACTCTGGTATTTCTAATATATCACAGAAGTACCCAATCTTGTAGCCCTCAGTTCTGCCTTTTTTTGACATTTTATTTTTTTTAAGCTTTTTATAAATATATATATAAATATATAAATATATTACTTTGTCAGTTTTTTTGCTGTACAAAAAGTCTTTAAGATTTAAAAAAATATTATTTGTATTATATGATGGTGGTATGTTAATGTTACAAAATTATTAATGAAGAAAAATTTATTTTTGTTACTGGTCTGTTTCATAATTCTTTTTTAAATTGGTATATTGTAAGATATCTATGCAAAAATGTTATGTGATGCATTTTTATTTAAGAATGTATTATGTGTAATAAATAGTAGAATGTGTTTGGCCTGAAAATGATCAGCATGTCCTGAATGTTTTTTCTTTACTGTAACAACTTCTGTGAATGAAACCTCTTCAAATACTAAGACTGCAAACATGTACATAGACTCATAGACCCACAGGGTTAGAAAGAACTGCAAGAATCACCTAGTCTGACTCCCTGCTTAGGTGCAGGTTTTGCTGTGTCTACATTACCCAAGCCAGATAGATGGCTGTTGTCCAACTTCTCACTGAAAATCTGCACTGATGGAGACTCCAGAGCGTCCCTAGGAATCTGTTCCATTGTCCTGCTGTTCTCATAGTTAGGAAGTTTTCCTTAGATTTAATCTACATCTGCTATGCCATAGTTTTAACCCATTGCCTCTTGTCTTGCCTTCTGTGGCAAGAAAGAACAAACCATTTTTCTCCACCTTCTTAATGGCAGCATATATGAGTAGCAGTATGTATGAGCAGCATATATGGTTCAATTGAAATCAGGAACTAAATTATCTACTTTAGCTCAGCTGAGTGTCATTTACATGCCTGTTTTGGGAGGCTCACACTAAAGATATTCCCTGGTAGAAATCAGCATCACTCTGCTGGCGCTATGCCAAGTGATGCCAGCTGTGACCCACAGTATTTTTATGAAAAATGTATAGTGCACACACAGCCCTTTACATCTATAGCAGTCAATACACTTCATAACAGTGAGTAAATATTATGATCCCCTTTTACAAAGGGGGTCAGAGTCACAGTGACTTGTTAGAGCCTGAACAGTTCAGTGGCAGACCTGGGAATAGCATTGAGATCTCCTGACTCCCAGTCCTTTGCTCCTGTCTGTGGAACATACTCCTCTCAAGCAAAATGTACATCTCTGCTCTCACTAGTCTTCTTTTTGTGGCTGCAATTTTGTGCACTAGGATGTCCAAGGCCAACTGTACCAACAAATCAAGTATGTGGATGGCCAACAGTCTGTCTTTAAATGCTTTACATTTATGCTGGTGGAAGTTTATATGCCACCCCACCTGCTTCATTGGGAATTGTATGCACTCATCTGGTGGGGCTCCTATGATGTAATCTGTCTGTTTTTC